GACCTTTATTGTTGACATGGATTAAAACTGTGCTTGTTCTAGATGTTGCCATCATAGCGACAGTCAAAAAAATATATTTAAAAAAAACACTTCAGCCTGGAAATAATGCAGAAAGTATATATTTTTAGAATCAATGTTATACAGGAAAATAATTTTTTTGTTGAGTTTACGGCTACATTTCTATTTACTGTCATCAACCTTAAGTAATGAGTGCTTGTACGTCAAATTTTGATTGGCTGTACAGGGACTCCGCGATCGAAACCCTACTCCATGGCAATGTGTTCTCACGACTTAGCCGATAGGTTTTTAAACACAATTAATTTAAAAACATATGACTTAGTTCTGCCATTTCTGTTCACATTTTCTGCGATAAAAATGTAAACAATTTTTGAGAAATGTGTTTAGTTTCCGAAAATACTAAAACATCAAATACATCGAATCTTCTTCAAAGTTCGACGAAAATGAAACGGTCGGATTTTTATAACCGTATTTATTTTAATAACGTCGCACCAGATTATAAAAATATATTTTGATACCATCTCGAGGCTATCACCAGCCGGCTCCATTGGTCAAACGGTCGAACAGTCAATTGATGGAAGTCGATGAGTTGAAAACAAACGACACTCAAGTGTTTTGAAACAAGATGTATCAGCAGTGACTGACCTGATTTTGGCGGCAACTCTAGCAGATGTCAGCTTTCTAACTTTACTTTGCTTGTTTTTCTTTCCAATTTGAAAACGTAACTTCCGGTCATTTGAGTTTAAAATGTAAACATCCGGTCACGTGCAGCAAGCAGCTCGAGCGTCCAGTGATGTAAGACGGATGTTGATTGGTTCTCGCTAGATGTGTGAAAGTGACGTCACAACCAAACAATCTTGTTCTAAATACAATTTCATCGACAGAAATATAGGCCTACTCGTTATACACTTATTATAAACGCATTATATACTCATTAAATACTCATTAAATACTCATTATGATGAAGTTAAAAAATATCCGAGATATAGCAGGGGGGGGGGGCGAGGGGGAAGTAAACTGATGCTTCAAGCACCTAGCTAAGTTCAAAACGTAAATTGTATGTGCATTTTGTATGTGTATGTGATTGTGTGTGTATTTGTGTATGTGTTTTTGTATGTGTATATGCGTATGTGTTTGTCTGTGAAAGTGTGAACATGACGTCAATGTGCTAAAACGTCAAGGTTGACATCACGTGATGTCAATCACAAGCCACGTGACACAACCCACGGCGTGACACAACCCTTGAAATCGTGACAACGTGACCGGTTACACAGGACATCGATCTCAGCTGATTGGCTATTAAAATAATCGATTGCTATTGTCGCTGATTGGTCACGTTTTTCTTGACATGCGCTGTCAATTAGACATAATTAAGGTTGACCTAACAGTCAGTTAGATATATATATATATATATATATATATATATATATATATATATATATATATATATATATATATATATATATATATATATATATGTATATATATATATATATGCATGCATTAAGAGTTTAAAGATCAAGTGCATGCTAACCTTCCATATATTTAATTATAACCGCAATCAAGAGCTAGAGAAACCGTATGAGACAGCAGACGAGGATCAGACGACCAAGTTGAAAAGCGCGACTTTGTGAAGTTGGCGGTAAATCAGGTTTCAACTTTTTCCTTTTGGACGTCACGTGACCAGTTTTTGTAAGAGACAACCAAAAGATTGAAATTAGTGAAAGACTAATTTAAAACAGGAGGTAGGAAATTAAAAAAAAAAAGGTCAAATTTTTCCGTCCTGCGTGGCGGGAAGGTTTTAATCAAATGTATTCTGGGAGATGTTACTATTTTTAGATCGTCAATTGTTCTCAAGGTAAGACACCGTCACGAACTCTACAGGGGAGATAACAAATACAGGAGAATGTAGACGTTTGCGTTTTCTAAACACGATCATTAACCCAGGATCGATCGTTAAAACAGTAAGGGAATTGGGGGGGGGGGGGGGGCTGGGGAGGGGAGGGGGGGGCTGGAAGTATGGATGGTGGGGAGTACAGTAGAAGTGAGAACGGTGTGTATGGGGTGGGAATGGGTGGATGTTAAACATTAGGATACAGTATGTTACACCATAGGATACCGAATGTTACATAATAGGATACCGAATGTTACATAATAGGATACCGAATGTTACACCATAGGATACAGAATGTTACATGATAGGATACCGAATGTTACACCATAGGATACCAAATGTTACACAAAAGAATACCGAATGTTACACAAAAGAATACCGAATGTTACACCATAGGATACCGAATGTTACACAAAAGAATACCGAATGTTACACAAAAGAATACCGAATGTTACACAAAAGGATACTGAATGTTACATGGTATGGTAACCTGTGATACAGCTGTTACATGAATTTTACATGATAGAACAGCCAGACGTCTTGTGTCTAACTGATGGAACAGCCATCGAATGTTTGAGACTTAAGAGTTTTGGGTAGGCGTGAGCGAGAACTATTTAGCGAGGGGGGGGGGGTGGAGGGATTGTAGGGACGGATTGTGAGTAGCTTTGGGGGACAGAGACAGATGGCCACTGGTCAAGTGTTTTTGGCTGGCGTTAAGCTGGTGTGGTCAAGCATTCATGTAATTTAACTTAAATACGCAGAGCTTGAGATAACGCTCGAATGACAAGGTGGCCAATAGTTTGACTGTATGACAAGTTGGCCAATAATTTGACTGGACAAGTTGGCCAATAGTTTGACTGTATGACAAGTTGGCCAATAGTTTGACTGTATGACAAGTTGGCCAATAGTTTGACTGTATGACAAGTTGGCCAATAGTTTGACTGGACAAGTTGGCCAATAGTTTGACTGGACAAGTTGGCCATTAGTTTGACTGGACAAGCTGGCCAATAGTTTGACTGTATGACAAGTTGGCCAATAGTTTGACTGGACAAGTTGGCCAATAGTTTGACTGTATGACAAGCTGGCCAGTAGTTTGACTGTATGACAAGTTGGCCAGTAGTTTGACTGTACGACAAGCTGGCCAATAGTTTGACTGTATGACAAGCTGGCCAATAATTTGACTGTATGACAAGCTGGCCAATAGTTTGACTGTATGACAAGTTGGCCAATAGTTTGACTGTATGACAAGTTGGCCAATAGTTTGACTGGACAAGCTGGCCAATAGTTTGACTGTATGACAAGTTGGCCAATAGTTTGACTGGACAAGTTGGCCAATAGTTTGACTGTATGACAAGTTGGCCAATAGTTTGACTGTATGACAAGTTGGCCAATAGTTTGACTGTATGACAAGTTGGCCAATAGTTTGACTGGACAAGTTGGCCAATAGTTTGACTGGACAAGTTGGCCAATAGTTTGACTGGACAAGCTGGCCAATAGTTTGACTGTATGACAAGCTGGCCAATAGTTTGACTGTATGACAAGCTGGCCAGTAGTTTGACTGTATGACAAGCTGGCCAATAGTTTGACTGTATGACAAGCTGGCCAATAGTTTGACTGTAGCGCCACCTAACGCCGGCCGTATCCCACGAACTGCTGGGGCAGAGAGTAGAGCGAGACAAAGGCTGACGACAGTCTGTCAAAGTTGTACAGGCTATACCTGTCAACTGATTTACCTTCATCTAGCAGGTGACGCGGCGGGAGAGACGGGGTGGGGGATGACAACCCGGGTGTCCCGCGTCACGCGAGTGGAGGTGGGGGTGGGGGGGGGGGGTAGGGTTACAATCAAACTGTGGTATGGAACAGTTGCTCCCACGTTTGATTGATTTCTGACGGCTGGCTTACATACAGGTGAGTTGGACGGCTTGCTTACATACAGGTGAGTTGTTGATGGCTTGCTTACATACAGGTGAGTTGTTGATGGCTTGCTTACATACAGGTGAGTTGGACGGCTGGCTTACATACAGGTAAGTTGTTGATGGGTTGCTTACATACAGGTGAGTTGTTGAAAGCTTGCTTACATAGAGGTGAGTTGTTGATGGCTGGCTTACATACAGGTGAGTTGTGTAATGGCTTGCTTACATACAGGTGAGTTGTTAATGGCTTGCTTACATACAGGTGAGTTGTTAATGGCTGATTACATACAGGTGAGTTGTTAACAGCTTGCTTACATAAAGGTGAGTTTTTGAAAGCTTGCTTACATAGAGGTGAGTTGTTAATGGCTGATTACATACAGATGAGTTCTTGATGGCTTGCTTACATATATGACAGTTGTGTAATGGCTTGCTTACATACAGGTATGTAATGAATTCCTTGAGTTTCACTAACGGATACTCGTGTTCTCCATCACTGACCACACAGTCAAATAAAAAGTGGGATGACCAAATAATGGACGGCCAACACCGAGACTGGACGGCCAACTCCAAGAATGGACGGCTGAAGTGGACAGAAGTTGTCGTCTGATTGCAAGCGTTTGTTTTTTTTTTACACCGGGCGGCACCGTTTAATTATTGACTCAAGTTTGAAGTGTTTTCTTTTAGCCGGACTTTATTTACGTTTTAGATCGAAATTTCATTGAGTTTAAAAAAAAAAAGTAATGAAATCTCAAGCTAAAATTTCACTCCAATACACACATAGAAATCACGTCGGTGTAATGTTTTGTATTATTATTTAGTTACGTTATAGGGGGCGGGAAAGGGAGTTTACCAGACGTACGTTCTGGTGGGGGGGGGGAGGGGGTGTATGTTATCTCACGGGCCGTTGTGAGTGCGTATATGTCGAAGATGATCGGCAACCCATCAGTCCTCGCTACAATTGTTTCTAATAATAGCTCAGGCTATGCTTCAATATAAACATTCTTTTCAATCACGTGACATAGTTTTGTTAATAAGCGACCTCGAGTGAGTTGTTATGGTGTGACACACGGATGTGTGTAGTCAGCGAGCGTACGGTGAGTTGTGTTCACGTCTAGACACTGGTGAGTTGTTTTGTCAGGCTGGTGTGTTTGATTTGATTTCTTTACACCTAGCTGTCATTTTATCGGGGAACAGGCGAGTAGAAACTCGACAATCTAGCAGGTGCTAGAGTAGTTAGGTCATCAAGTCGTGATACATGGATTATTTTATTCTTTCAGAACCAGACATGTTTTAGAAAGTTTCGTTGAAAATTATGTAATCAAGAGTCAATATCTGTTTAAAAAAATGTGATAGAAAATTATGTGATACAGAATGTGATAGAAAATTATGTGATACAGAATGTGATAGAAAATTATGTGATACAGAATGTGATACAAGCGTGTTCTTTGTTCTAAACAGATACTGGGTTCTAAGTGTCTGACCTTCAAACAGGCACCAGATGTCTCATCAAAAGCTGACCTTGACCTAGCTCAGTTACCGTCCTACACACGTGACGTCACTGATCATGTCACGGAGGATCTATTCCGGCACTTACCGGCTCCAGGAGGAGTCCTCTAGCCGTCCGGCTCTGAGCGCCGCATCCCCCATCCGGTCTCTCCTGGAGTCCACAACTAGGGCGTCTTTAAGTGCCGGCCCCATGCTGGGCGTGAGCGGGGCGCTGGATCCCCCCAGGTGTGGGCGCCCGTCTTCCGAGAGCCTGTACTGCCGGCCGGAGTACGGCACCACGAGCCGGTCGTCTGACGTCATCTGCAGCCAGTACACGTCGGCGTCCCGACACGACTGGAAGGTCCACCTGCCGGGCCGGCACATCCTGCATCACGACGTCGACACGCTGCCGGAAGACGTCGGGAAGAGGGCGACGCTCAAGGACGACACGGACTCTCCCCCCACCACGACATGCGGCCGGCGGATCCGGCACCGATCCAAGCACGTTGACCTCTCGCCTGAAGACCCGGGATCTAAATCCGAGGGGGGCGTCAAGTCTGAAGAAAAAACGTCCGGGTGGCGGGCCAAGCTCGGACTTCATTCATCGAAAGATGACGTCAATAGTGACGTCAGTGTGCGGCGTCATCAGGATCCAGCGTCGGAGGTGACGCAAGAAGATTCGATACTTAGTACCAGCAAGGAATCGAGTCGGATGGGTAATCGAGAAGACAGCGGTATCCTCGACTGCGATATCTCGCATAGGTCATCTGATACCACACCGGAAGACGAGGAGCCGAGAGGTCAAGGTGAGGATCCGGCAGGTCAAGGTGAACCACCGAAAGCGCGGGAAAAGCGCATGTACCAGAAAAACAGCAAATTGGATAGTAGTGGCGTCAGGGAAAAGGTGGTCTACAGGAGGAGGCGGTCATCAGCTGACCACTTGCAAGAGGACTCGGTAAGTCCATTTTCTGTCTTCTGTCTCAAAACTGTCCGGGGGGGGGGAAGGGGTGGTGGCTTTTGTTCCTTTCCAGGGTTGCTTCCAGACATTTTATCCGGGGTCACGGAGTGCACTTAAAATGTCGGGGCAGGTTGGACAGATACTGGTGTAAGTATAGATTTCTACATAATGTATAAACATTTTGTTTTGGATGATTATAGATACCGGTGTCCGATAATGGAATCTTCTTTTTAAAAAGGGGGTGTTGGGTTGTTAGTAGTATTGTAATCTCGACTAATTTTATGGTAAGAAAAATTAGGGTTAGGCTATGGTTGGACCAGGGTTAGGGTTAGGGACAGCGTTAGCATTGACATGAGCCAGCCATGTGTGTATTTAGTTAACTACCATTAACCTAACACCCTTTTTTGAAAGAAGATTCCACCGGTGTAAACATTCTCCCAAATGTCATTTATCCTTGGTGGAGAGGGGCGACACCAAAAGTTACCGTACGGGCGACACCAAAAGTTACCGTACGGGCGACACCAAAAGTTACCGTACGGGCGACACCAAAAGTTACCGTACAGGCGACACCAAAAGTTACCGTACAGGCGACACCAAAAGTTGCAGGTGACACCAAAAGTTACCGTACGGGCGACACCAAAAGTTACCGTACGGGCGACACCAAAAGTTACCGTACAGGCGACACCAAAAGTTACCGTACGGGCGACACCAAAAGTTACCGTACGGGCGACACCAAAAGTTACCGTACGGGCGACACCAAAAGTTACCGTACAGGCGACACCAAAAGTTACAGGGTGACACCAAAAGTTACAGGGTGACACCAAAAGTTGCCGTACGCGACACCAAAAGTTACAGGGTGACACCAAAAGTTACCGTACGGGCGACACCAAAAGTTACCGTACGGGCGACACCAAAAGTTACCGTACAGGCGACACAACTGATTTAGAGATAAAATTCTATGCTATCAAATGGATGAAGAAAAGCGATAACATACGGAGGACAAAAACAAATTTGCTCCAACCATCCGCGTGTGAGCACATTTTCTTACCACAGCCAATGGCCCCACTCCCTCCCATCGACATCCCACCACCCTCTCATCCACGCCCTATCCCCCTCCCAGTTCGTAATCCCATCTAATACAGGATACAGTTCAGCCCCCCCCCCCCCTATACACGCCGCTCATCAAAACACATTTGGGTAATCTGCGAAATCTCGAGACTCTAAGCTGTTACTATAAATAGACGGTCTACTCAATGCTCTTCGATCCGAAACAAATTCCTCCAATCAGGAGCTATCCTTACCCCGTCGTGAGCTATTTTTAGCAACATCTTTTACTTCCGATCTGTCCCCCATCCAGTGCTGTGCGCAGTCAGGGGAGATAATGGTATACATGAGGAATTTTTTACGCCAGATACATGAGAATAATCTCATATTTCAGACAACTTTCCTCGGGTTGAAAAAAATGGGTTCGACGCTAAAAAATGTGATTATTTTAACATACGTTATCATAATGACCAACAATACTTTGTAAATTTGTTTATTTAAAAAAAATGTAATTCGGTTGTTTTAAAAAGTATTTGGTATTTTAAAGGATTTGCTTTAAGTCAAAACGATGAGGTTTTGTTTAATGGAAGGTTTCTTTGACCAAACAAGTTTTTAATATAAAATCTGTGCACCTCGATTGTACTATATCCCGTGCTAGTGTTCTGCTTGTCATAAGCCATAAGTATACGTCATAGTCTGCTTGTGTCATATTGAAAATTTGCTCCCAAGGGGGGCGCCAAATTGAAAGTTTGTCCCCGGTCGCCGGGAAGGGTCGCTACGCCTCTGCTTGTGTCAAAAGCCATAGCTGGAAATGTGTCGGCACCTCTGGAGGTTCAGATGTAGGACGCGAGTCGGGTGGTCAGACCTTTGAGTGTCTGTTAGATCACGTGACGCCAGGTAACGTTTTCCAACCGTTTAGGCCTTGGGTTGATGGATAGCTGTAGACCACGTGACCCTGACAACCAATCACGTGATGTGCCGCTAGCCGGAAATTGTCTAGACGTAAAAGTTACATTTCACGAGGCCGTGTGTGATTGGTTGGAATTGATCAGGTGACCCTAACTCATAGTTTTACTAGCTTGTCCGTGGGGTCGTGTAGGGGGGGGGGTTGACCTGGGTGGGGGTGCTGATCACGATGATGGGTAGCTATTGAAATCGTGTTCTACTCACAATGGACGGCTTTTTTTTTTTTTTTTTTTTGTATAAAAAATGTGTGAGATCACATGTTGGTCAGTCGAATGTGCTGGTGGAGTCACCAGAAGCTCACCCTGGCTGGGCTATCTGTCAATCAATAGCTGCCCCCCCCCCCCCCAATTATAAGTCTGGAACCCTCGATATCCCCGGCCCAGGCGCCAAGCCCCGGGGCTATGAGAAGTGATGACGTCAAACCGAAAGATTGGGAACCTTTGGGTGACCTGGAGGAGAATCTGCGCATCGATCTTCCTGGCTGGTGGGGCAGTCGTCTCCCCTTGTTGGGGGGGGGGGTCAGTCGTCTCCCCTTGTTGGGGGGGGGGGGAGGGTCAGTCGTCTCCCCTTGTTGGGGGGGGGGGGGTCCAGTCGTCTACCCTTGTTTCTCATGTATAGGTTTTCAAACCTAACCTATAAAATCTGTTGTAAAATCAGTACAGTATCTAACTTTCGCTTGAATATGTGCTCGCGTGTGAGTGCATCTGTGTGTGTGTGAATGTCTATCAGTGTGTGTACGCGTGTGTACGTGTGAGTTTCTATTTTAAACAAATTAACGTCGTGATTGTGCTGACCTCAGTGTGTGACGTCACAGCTTCAGTCACAAATGTGATGTTTGTGATCGGTGACACTTTTGTGACATGTTTGATCTGCGTTGGACTTTTGACTTGTGAGAGTTCAAACGTAATCTGTCGAACATGCACTAGATGGGACCCCTGGCCTAGAACCTAAACATGGTGAGATGGGACCACTCGCCCAGAACCTAAACATGTACCAGATGGGACCACTCGCCCAGAACCTAAACATGGTGAGATGGGACCCCTGGCCCAGAACCTAAACATGGTGAGATGGGACCCCTGGCCCAGAACCTAAACATGCACCAGATGGGACCCCTGGCCCAGAACCTAAACATGCACCAGATGGGACCACTCGCCCAGAACCTAAACATGTACCAGATGGGACCACTCGCCCAGAACCTAAACATGGTGAGATGGGACCCCTGGCCCAGAACCTAAACATGGTGAGATGGGACCCCTGGCCCAGAACCTAAACATGTACCAGATGGGACCACTCGCCCAGAACCTAAACATGCACCAGATGGGACCCCTGGCCCAGAACCTAAACATGTACGAGATGGGACCCCTGGCCCAGAACCTAAACATGCACCAGATGGGACCCCTGGCCCAGAACCTAAACATGCACTAGATGGGACCCCTGGCCCAGAACCTAAACATGGTGAGATGGGACCACTCGCCCAGAACCTAAACATGGTGAGATGGGACCACTCGCCCAGAACCTAAACATGCACCAGATGGGACCACTCGCCCAGAACCTAAACATGCACTAGATGGGACCCCTGGCCCAGAACCTAAACATGGTGAGATGGGACCACTGACCCAGAACCTAAACATGGTGAGATGGGACCACTCGCCCAGAACCTAAACATGGTGAGATGGGACCACTCACCCAGAACCTAAACATGGTGAGATGGGACCACTCGCCCAGAACCTAAACATGGTGAGATGGGACCACTCACCCAGAACCTAAACATGGTAAGATGGGACCCCTGGCCCAGAACCTAAACATGGTGAGATGGGACCACTGGCCCAGAACCTAAACATGGTGAGATGGGACCCCTGGCCCAGAACCTAAACATGGTGAGATGGGACCCCTGGCCCAGAACCTAAACATGGTGAGATGGGACCCCTGGCCCAGAACCTAAACATGCACCAGATGGGACCCCTGGCCCAGAACCTAAACATGCACCAGATGGGACCACTCACCCAGAACCTAAACATGCACGAGATGGGACCCCTGGCCCAGAACCTAAACATTCACCAGATGGGACCCCTGGCCTAGAACCTAAACATGCACCAGAAGGGACCACTCGCCCAGAACCTAAACATGCACCAGATGGGACCCCTGGCCCAGAACCTAAACATGCACCAGATGGGACCCCTGGCCCAGAACCTAAACATGCACGAGATGGGACCACTCACCCAGAACCTAAACATGCACCAGATGGGACCCCTGGCCCAGAACCTAAACATGCACCAGATGGGACCCCTGGCCTAGAACCTAAACATGCACCAGAAGGGACCACTCGCCCAGAACCTAAACATGGTGAGATGGGACCCCTGGCCCAGAACCTAAACATGCACCAGATGGGACCACTCACCCAGAACCTAAACATGCACCAGATGGGACCCCTGGCCCAGAACCTAAACATGCACCAGATGGGACCCCTGGCCTAGAACCTAAACATGCACCAGAAGGGACCACTCGCCCAGAACCTAAACATGCACCAGATGGGACCCCTGGCCCAGAACCTAAACATTCACCAGATGGGACCCCTGGCCCAGAACCTAAACATGCACCAGAAGGGACCACTCGCCCAGAACCTAAACATGCACCAGATGGGACCCCTGGCCTAGAACCTAAACATGCACGAGATGGGACCCCTGGCCCAGAACCTAAACATTCACCAGATGGGACCCCTGGCCCAGAACCTAAACATGCACCAGAAGGGACCACTCGCCCAGAACCTAAACATGCACCAGATGGGACCCCTGGCCTAGAACCTAAACATGGTGAGATGGGACCCCTGGCCCAGAACCTAAACATGCACCAGATGGGACCACTGGCCTAGAACCTAAACATTCACCAGATGGGACCCCTGGCCTAGAACCTAAACATGGTGAGATGGGACCACTCGCCCAGAACCTAAACATGCACCAGATGGGACCCCTGGCCCAGAACCTAAACAT